TTATTAGGTGGAGAAAGCGCTGGTGCCAACATTGCTCACAACTTGGCTATTACCGCCGGAAACCCTGAGTTTGGTCTAAACGTGCGCTCCGTGGTATAGCTTTGGTGCACCCATTTTTCTGGGGCTCGGACCCAATCGGGTCAGAGGCTTTAATGGACCCTGTTTAAAAGTCTGTTTTGGATCGGTTATGGCCATTTATCTGCCCATCAAACCCGGATAACAATGATCCTAGATTCAACCCGGTTTCTATCGACGCGCCAAGCTTGGTGGGGCTTGGGTGCATGAGGGTTTTGGTTTGTGTGGCTAAGAAGGATGGGCTTAGAGATAGAGGGCGGGTTTATTTTGAGGCTTTGGGTCGAAGTGGTTGGATGGGAGTTGTGGGAATTATGGAGACAGAAGGAGAGGATCATGGGTTTCATTTGTATAATTTGGAGAGTGAGAAAGCCAAGGATTTGATCAAAAGGTTGGCTGCATTCTACAGTAGAGATATGCCTTCTTCACTCTAAATCATTATCAGTGGATTCCTTGCTTAATCAATCTATTTTCCCATCATACTAATTGTACGGATTTCCTTGTATTACCAATTGAAATTGTTTGCTAAATCTTTTGGTTTCCGGTTGCTATAGAGTTTTGGACACTTGTCTTCTATGTCTAAAGTCAAGAGAGATGACGATATACAAGGAATTGAATGATAGATGAAGAAAGGCTATGTTGGCTCTGTGGGTGACTCAATTTCAGGGAAAGTCAAGTTCACGTTATTCCCAAGTTAATTGTCTCTAGTCATCCCATAAAAAAAAAAGATTAAATATTCTCTAAGACATCAATCAAAGACAAACAAGGAGAGTAACAAGTCACATAAATCAAACTACAACGTTAATTTTGTAGTGATATGCGATAATCGATAATCAAACACATGAATTTCTAACACATAAGATTGATAATCGTAAAACATATAACTCATGTCATTACTCACACAATTTAAACAGTGATTTGATACTAATACAGGTAAAATTTTACTAAATATTTTTAATAATGAAAGAAATAAAAATCTGTTCTTACGAATCTTGGCTGTACTATCCAGTAAGAGCAGAGAGAGTGAGACATGTAATGCAATAAATTGTGAGGACATGTTGGCCACCAGCCCATGGTGAGCTGGGTTAAGATTTTCTTGGTGCAACTGGTCAGGTTGATGATCCCCACCGCCTCCTCCTCTCTTAGCAAGTGAGAAAAACCAATAGTAAATGTCTGACACTTAGTCAAAGGCTTTATTAAAGATGAAAGTCTATTCAAAATGGTGGACTAATCTCAATTCATAAAATTGAATTAAAAAAACAAAATACAATACATCAGTAAGATTGAAACTTGTGTGGCTATATATAAAATTAGATTTGTGATAGTATAATCAGAACTATCTCAAGTTTTTCTAGTCATTTTCACTACACAAAAATCTGGGTTTATTAATTAATTAAGATTGAGTTTTACATCAAATCGATCAAGTTCTCAGAGAACTGGTAAATTTTTTAAGTCCTAATAAATTGTAGTAATAAAGAAGAGCGACTTTTCTGCAATGTTTAGGGCGGCAAGCACGTTCTTCAACTCTCTTGATAATGTTCTTAATAAATAACCAACTAAATTATAACAGGATTAAGTCAAATTCACCATAAAATAATAAAGTAAAATTATAAGACAATATGTTAATGACAAAAAAAAAATGTAATAAATCATAGAAATTAGATTTTATTGGTTAGAGATTAATTAATTTAATTATGCTTAGTGATTTAAAAAGTTTGCAAACACCAGCAATTGCGTGTATAGATCATAGAAACTTAAACAAAGGGTTCAGTGCTCACCAATTTCATTCCTTTCAGGGCTGCCTTTCAATCTTATTTATTCTTGTAATTAAGGCACGCCTTGCTTATTACCCAAATTTATATATTTTTCTTTAGTTTCCTCCCGAAGTACTCAACCATTGAATGATGAAAGCGAAAGATAACAATAAAAATGAAACTATGGTTTGAAGTCAACTATATTTGTTCTTTTTTCCTATTGATGAAGGAAACCTGAACGGGGAAAAAGCCTTAAGTCTTGGAAGTTCCTGTTCCTAGTAAAATTCTACAGAATTTCATGATTATATATCTATGTATTTGTGTGTGTATGTGTTTTGCGCTGTGTTTCATTCATTACAGCAGCCGAAAGCCTGAGCCCTGAGATTTCCTCACTTCCAACTGCTCCCCATGACTCCAAATTTTCAGACAGGTTCGAGTTTGTGGGAGTCGGTGAATCCTTCTTACTTTGTCAATATTATAGTGAAGTTACTAAGGTTTCAAGATTTATTTTCGTTAGGAATAATGCGCTATACATGGGGTTGTTTGCTTGCCATGAAACTACATTAATTTGCCTGTAGGTTGGGTGCATTCAAGGCTACAATAACCTTTTTCCATCAGTTTCATGGCCTACTTGTCAAAGAAATATAAATGCGTAAGAGAAAAGTTGACAGTTGACTGTCCACATTGGAAAAAAAAAACAACTAATATGTCTAACTTGTCTGGAAGCCATTGGCAATGAACTCCAAATGCCAATGACGCTGTTGTTGGTTATATGGAATTAAAATAATCGTATAAAATCAAATGATGGTGATTGGAGGTGCAAGGTGGGTGTTCTTGTGGAGCTTGTTGCCGCTGATCTCTTTATAAAAGAAGGCGTAATAAGCCCAGTATCTTTGTCTTGTTAAAAGGTTATAGCTGTCTTTTAGCTGGTGCAAATCGTCCCCCTGTCTTGATTGTGCATTTCCTCTTTGTTTGTTTCTCTCATATTTAATCAATTCCTCTTCTGTCTTTCCTTAATTTGTCTGTCTGTCTTAGTTAGTTAGATCCCCCGTTTGTTCAGTTTTTCTCTTTAAACGGCCAGCTCTCTCTTCTCTCTTACACACAAAGGCATGGGTTCTAATGCTTCAGAAGTTGCTCTTGATCTGTTTCCCTACCTCAAAGTGTACAAAGATGGAACCCTTCAGAGAATCGGTGGAGTTGAAGTAGTTTCTCCAGGACTTGATCCTGAAACCGATGTTTTATCCAAAGACATCGTGATCGTACCTGAAACCGGGGTCTCAGCTAGAATTTACCGACCAAACTTGGCTACTACAGATGCAAAGCTACCCCTTGTAGTCTATTTTCATGGTGGAGCTTTTTGTGTAGCATCGCCAGCTTTTCCGAACTACCATACCAGCCTCAACAAGCTCGTCGCCGAGGCTAACGTCGTAGCTCTTTCAGTTGACTACAGGTTAGTCCCAGAGTTTCCTCTTCCTACTGCATATGAAGATTCATGGGCTGCACTTGAGTGGATAGCTTCCCACAAGGAGGGAGACAGCTGCCATGAGGCTTGGATCAAGGATCATGCTGACCTTGACCAGGTGTTTTTGGCCGGAGATAGTGCTGGTGCAAATATTGCACACCATTTGGCTTTGCGGCTGAAGGACTCTGATCTGGGTCAGAAGTTGAAGATTCTTGGTATTGGTATGATCCATCCTTACTTTTGGGGAACAAACCCGATTGGATCAGAGTTTGCTGATCAGTTCAGGAAAGAATTAGTGGACAAGTGGTGGTTGTACGTTTGTCCATCTGATAAAGGGTGTGATGATCCGCTTATCAACCCGTTTGTGGATGGATCCTCTGATCTTTCAGGCTTGGCGTGTGATGGAATCCTTGTTATTGTTGCAGAGAAGGATATACTCAAGGATAGAGGGAGGCTTTATCATGATAAATTGGTGAAATCTGGGTGGAAGGGTAAGGCCGAGATTATGGAGA